GGACAAACTCCTTACGTTCCTCCTCTATTCACAGACATCTGGGTTACATTCAGTTAGGAGGGCCCCCTTGCCCCTGCCTGGTGCACCCCGCTCAGCTTAATCACCCCCAGCTGCATGTGCCATGAACCGCAAGGCCTGCTAACACACCAAGGTCATGACACCAACCAGCCGCCTCTCCCTGTACAGCCAACTAGGAGCAAAGGCCTCTGCTAACGAATGCCCAAGGCAATTTGCTGTGCACAAGTCCCAAATTAATGCTGTGTTCCCCTGTGAATTTCTCCCCCTACCTCAGTTTCTGCCAGATCTTAAAGTGACAGAAAACCTCTCCTCCTTCTCCCCCCGCCGACCACATCCAATGTTTTAGGCCTAGCTATTTGAAATGCATCACATAGTTACAGGCATTGCTGAGGCCAAGATGGAAGGCTTTGAGACTAAAAGTTGGAAGATGCATTGAAGCCTTGAAAATAAGAGCCTGTTAATTTGTTACATCTAAGCTCCCTAAGTATCTTATGATGAGGTTCCTTATTTATTACACTGAAGTCTCCAAGAAAGGAGAAGCTGTTTGTGGGTACCACATAATAACATCTGTATTTAACATTAACTAGCTCTCTCTTACTGCAGATCATCTATTCTCAATGGTATTGAATTTATCCCCCCTCCCCAGCTTGCCCAGGCGCTGTCCATGGTTCTGTGCCATGCCCCTGGCTATCTCCCCATTTGCTGTTAAAAGAGGGAGGGAGAAAATTATGGCATACAGAAGTCTATGACTATGCTGTCAGTGGGTAACAGAAGTTGTAGTTCTGTATATCTGGAATGCATCATATTGGAAATACTGGCATATAGATAACCATTTTCAAACCCTGGAAAATGTATTTCCTGCTGAAAGGTATTTTCAGAATGTAGTACTAGCTTTTTGTTTCCAGGTCTTCATCATGTGGATAGTCTGACTAGCAAAATAAAGACATGGAGGGTTCTAATTCACTTCTCCATAAATTTTAGGGAGGCTCAAGGAAGGTAGGCATAGTCAATTCAGGAGTGAATTTGATTCCCAAATTTTGGACCTGCAAAATTTAAGATTGCATATATTTCATGATTCATATATTAAGGGAAGATGAATTGGAAGAAGATGAGTGTAAAACTGGAGGAAGAAACATGAATAACTTGCACTATGCGGATTACACTACCCGATAGCCAAAAATGCAAAGGATCTGCAAGTTCTAGTAATAAAAGTTAAGGAGCAGAGTGAAAAAAAATTGCACTAAAATTAAATATAAAGAAGACCAAACTAATGGCAACAGGTGGAACAACCAGTTTTAGAATTGGCAATGAAGATATTGAAGTGATGGATAGCTTCTCCTTTTAAGATCAACCATCAACAGTAAAGGAACAAGCAGTCAAGAAATACGCCACACACTAGCACTTGGTAGAGCAGCCATGAAGGCCTTGGAAAAGATATTCAAATGCTTTGATGTGTCTATACCTACAAAGATCAGGATCATGCAAGTCCTGGTATTCCCTCTAACATTCTATGGAAGTGAAAGTTGGACTTTGAAGAAGCAGGATAGGAAGAGTATTGACACTTTTGATGTTAGAGAAGACTCCTGAGAATACCACGGACAGCCAAGAAAACAAATGGATCATCAAACTAATCAACCCAGAATTCTCACTCGAGGCACAAATGACCAGGCTGAAATTATTCTACTTCGGACACATTATGCAAAGGCCCAGCTCTCTAGAAAAGGCTCTAATACTGGGAAAGGTGGAAGGAAAAAGAAGGATGACCAGCAGCAAGGTGAATGGACTCCATTACATCAGTGATCAGTGTACCCTTGGTAGACCTGAAAGACCAGGTTAGGGATAGATCGTCATGGAGAAAATCTTATCTGTGTGATTGTTAGGAGTCAGTTTGATGGCACATAATCAATATCATGAATTAACTACATTAAGCAGTTCAAAGATTTAGAAGCTTAGTTATAGCACTATTTATAAAGAGAATTTAGCTTTTATAACATTCCATACAGGGTCTTAAAATTTCTACAGCACATAGATGAACTTCATGAAGTTTCCTTAGAAAGTTTATCATGGCAGGTGCAACAGAAGAAGATACTCAGAGAGTGAAACCCTTAGCCATTTTTACCAGTTGTTGAATGCTTTCTTATACATCTTACTGTGGAAGCAAATCAACCAGAAGTATAGAACTGGTTTTGGCTCTCTGTCTGTGAAATACTCTTCTCTTCTGGCTTTGCTTCAGGACACCAGCACCTATCCAGCTGTTCTAAGTGCTTAACAGAGAGAATGTGAATGTGCACATCTCCCAAAATAAGCATAAGCAACATGACGCATCCCAAGTCCATCCCCTAACCAAGCATGACCAATGTGGGTGCTGTAATCCAAAACACCTAGAGGGTGCCAAGTTGCCTGCTCCTGTGCTGATAAACACACACAAGTGAAAAGCAGCACCTATTGGAATATTTATTTGTTTTATTTAGGTAAATTTACACTCCATCCTTCTCTCGTAATAAAATAATCAGTTTAAAGCAATTACAAATTCAAGGTCTAATGTTTAAATCATATCTGAATAATTAAATTCTTAAAGAGGGGAGGTGAAGCACAACAGATTAAAGCAGGTTAAAACCAGAATTCAGTTCCATTAAGAATAACCAACCCAGCAAGTCATATGCCTGTTAGAATAAAAACCTTTTACCAATGTGCCTGTAAATAAAGTACCAAGACATGGAATTCCATAATTCCATAAAGGAAGTGCTCTCCTACATTCCAGCCAGTAACCTTCTTTCATCTATCTATCTATCTATCTATCTATCTATCTATCTATCTATCTAATCATCTATCTATCATCTGTCTGTCTGTCTGTCTGTCTGTCTGGAGAAGGCCACCTTAGCAGATCTTAAAGAAAGCAGGCTCATTCAGGAAGAGTTAATTCTTGAAGGTCTAGATTACTTCACACATTGTGGTGAATATGGCTAGACATACTCCTTTCTATCTCAGCCCTCTTTTTATCCTTTCCAAACATACATACATGCACATGAACTAAACATATAAAACACCAATAAAATCATTCTGCTGAGCAAAATGTTTAAGGTAGTCTTCATCTACCCAGTCATTTATCTTGCAGTTTACCGGGAGTTTGAAGCTTCTATATCTTATATTAAATTAACCTTTATTAATTAATTACCTTATATTAAATTAAATATCCAATCATTCCAGGGCATTACTCATGCTGGCTTGGGTTGATGACAGTGGGAATACAACATGTTATGGGGCACAGATTCCCCATCCAAAGTCCCCGGGGTCTGGCAGCACTAGGGGTAGAAACACAGGGGGGATTGTACTGTAGTGTAGAGCACATGCTTTAGATGTAGAAGGTCCCAAGTACAATCTACTGGATAAATTTCTGCCTGGTACCCTAGCAGAAATGGTTATTGCCAGTTTATGTTGAGAGTGCTGGAGTAGATGGATCACTGTTCTGACTCAAAATATAGAAATGTCTTATATTTTTAGAGGGCTTCCACAGGTTACAGAGAAGATAAAAACAGAACATTGGATCTGAATGGAAGAAGCTATTGTCCTATTCCTTGCTTCTATCATGAATAAAATCAGCTGATCCCCAACCTGCTGCCTTCCTGATGTGGCTCCAATAATTGTTCATCCATAATGTTTTAGAACTTTTCATCCCAATATATCTGGAAGACATACCATACTGGAGAATACTGAGGTATTCATATACTAAACTTGAAGATATAACTATCTTTGCAAAGAGTTTCCAGTCCATACATCCTACTTTCCCCATATTTAGTTCTATCAATCCTAGCATTCATCTGCATTTCTGAGAAACAACACTGCTTCTTTGATTGATTGATTGATTGATTGACTGATTGATTGATTGACAGACAGACAGACAGAGACAGAGACAGAGACAGAGACAGAGACAGAGACAGATTTTTTTAGTGGACTTTGATCCAATCATTATTTATTATTCCACCTTTATGGAATTTAAACATTTTTGGCAGATATACTGATGGTCAATTATTTACATGTCCCTCTGATTAAGGCTCCATCGATAATCAT